CATGATGCATAATAAAGCTAGAGGAACAAAGGTCTGGAACCATCTATTCACGGGGACTTACAATAAAGTGAGTAGCAGTCTGCTTAATGAGTGTAATAAAATTAAACCTTAAATAGCTGATGAGGTAAGATGGTGAACAAACAAAATGGAGAAAAATACACCCCAAATATCATTTTTAAAATAAATAGTTACACAATATTCCATAACACCATCTGAATTCAAATTCACCACAAGTATTTCTCCTCTAAACACACCTTAAGTACCATGGCAAAATAAAAAGTTGTAAAATTGCAACTTTATGCTTGTAAGCTTGTTATGGTCAGGCAACACCCAGACTTGTGTTAAATTTTGAGTAGTTAGTCCTAAGTTTAGTGATGTCTAAATTACCAGCGTTGGACAACTCTGTGACGCAAGTAGCTGACTTTTTGAGTCGTACCATCTGTCACTACTGGAATTGAACTTCAACATTTTTCCATGTAGTTGTTCCTTGTCAGACTAAATTTCATTTTGTCTTTTGGATAATTATTTTCTTGCTGGTCTACTAGTTTGAATTAATTAATGTTCTCTGTGGCTACTTGGAGTTGTATTCAGTTCAACCAAACTGATGAAGTTTTCTACATAATTTTGTTCTGTGAAATGTTGACAATAGCTTAAGCTACATTAGTAAATAAAACCAGAAATAACCTCTCTTTCTGTGTCCTGTAACTCCCACTCATTGAACAAATTTAATATAACAAATGCTACTTTACACACAGACTGATGAAGAAATACAAGCCAATGAGTTACAACATTACTCTGATGCACTCAACTTAAAGGGAGATAATTAAACTCTCCTGGAAATCTCCTCATAGGGGTCTATTTAATCTCTGAGAGAAGAGGAATAAAAAGGGAGTGTATGCTCTGCTTTGAAGCCAGGAGAGAAAACACCCTGTGTCTTCATATGGTAGATACGTCTAGACAAGTGTAGAAAATAATTTAAGAACAAAGGCAAATGTCAAATCCATTTAGCTTTTCTTTGGGTCAGTCAAATAACCTCAACATCACTGCACCCAATTCTCAGTCTTGGGGTAGTATTACCAACGCTAGAAAAAGGATGGCATGAAAAAAAAAAAAAAAAGATGGCAATTTGAAAATCAGTGTTCTCACTTGTTTTTGTAAATAGCGACATATTTCTAGAAAAATAGATATTTTACAAATTTAATTGCAAAATTGATCTTGAGCAATAATGAGTTTAGACATTGTCTACTGCTTGTGTTAATTTAAACGTGTTTCATTTGTCAAAAGAATATCTGTCCTGTGTGCAAGGGAGGATGGATATTTAGGTGAGTGCACATTAGTCACTAAAATACAAGAGTAGCATAAAGCAGCCTCATAGCAAATTTGCATGTTGCATATGGGTATATACATATTAAATAAATAAAAATGAAACAACCAACAAACCATAGGCCATTGTGCCTGTCTCACAAAGATATGGAATTAATGAAATAAAATACAATTTACAGAGTATTTACAAAACAAAGGCCAATGTCTGATTTCGCTGTCCACCAAACTTTTCTAGAATTCAGACTTCTGTCTGTTCAGTTTTGAACAAATTGCTTCAAACGCCATCTTGTGGACAAAAGGAGGTATATAATAAGTTTCTCAGTAATGGGAAAGGCTGCAGAAGCAGAACTAAACCTTATTTAAGACATAGCCATAGAAATTACTTAATAAACTCAACGTCAAATGATAATTTGTACAGGCGGCATATCATGAAATAACTCCTTAAGCTCTATAAGTAGGAAAAATTTTAGTTTTCAACCATATCATGAGAAAGAGGAAAAAGCACAAGAGGCTGGAGTCATTAAATAGCTCTGATCAAAGTAACAAGTTGAAAAACTTAAGACTGACTGTGCTCCTGCTGTGGTTAGAAGTAATGGCCAAAGCTTGCAGTTGGCAAGAACGATGAGCACATGCCCACACCATTCTTCTCTCTTTTCTTTTGACTCTAAGAGCCAGAAAAATTAACTGAGATTAGACCTTCTCTACATAGGAAGATTTCTACCTAAAATTGCTAACTGAACTGGCATAACATTTAGGACTTGTTTACTGAAAAAAAAAAGAGCCAGTTTTAAAATTGTCACCATAGCCTGTAATTATTTTGTATTTAAAACAACTGTAGATCTGTAGAACAAACAAGAGAAAATTAAAATTAATAATTCTTCGCCCCTGCTACAGCTGAACTAAACAGTTTTTTTTTTTTTTTTTTTTTTTTTTTTTTTTTTTTTTGTGGCAAGTGGTTATTTAGAGGGATATTTTCCTATCCTACTTTGAGGACCAAATTATCCTGTTTATTTTTGTTGAAGGGTCAAGCACCTGCCAATCTCTTTGTTTTGTTAGCTAGACCAAGTGTTCCTTGTAGCCCTTTGTTATGAACAGAGCTGAGGCAAGAAAGAAAGAAAGAAAAAAAAATCCAAAACAGAAAACACTTTTCAAGATAAATAACCGTAGATTGGGGGTTTGTGCTATGTAATTAGAGTCCCATCTCTCTAGTAATGCCAGACTTAGTCACATGTCCCAGTTTTTAAAGAATGAGCTTGAATCATGGAGTCAGGCCACTTCTCAATATGCTTCATGTAACATATTTTATCCCCTACACTCCTCAAGTCATGGGAACTAATCTAGATCCCTGAAACAGGAATAAGCCAGCCATTCATTCACAGAAATTAGAAAAAGAAGAATGATAACTCTACAGTTTGTAAGGAAGGTTTCTGTTCTGTGGAACTCAAGTGAATGCTAGTGAATATATACTTTACTAAACGAGAAAAGGAACTACATCTTTTTATACAAATGAATTGATCAACTAAAAAAAAACCCCAAATGCACTGATCACCAGCCAAATGTTCAGGAAAACATTAAAATTATAAAATAAATATTTTTTTGAATAAGCCAAGAGGTAAAAGGATAAATAGCCCATCAATTAATATGAAAAATAATCTTTGAAAACATATAAAAGTCTTAGCTTTACAGCAAATTCAAGTAAATGAATATGTGCCAGGTAAATTCTCAGAAAATTCAACAAATTGAAAGCTCAAAATATACACATAGCACCATCTTTTTTACCATATGTACACTTGGGGGGTTAGATTATCATTTGATTATGAAGATACACATGCAAATGTTTTCGTATTCCAATTGTGCAAGTTTAAAACACAGCACCATCGCAGGTATTGCATAAGAAAGAAAATAAAGGAATAAGCAACACAGTGCTTAAAACATTGAAAATAAATGAAAGTAGACTTGGAAGATAAATAAACTTGGATCTAAATACAGTAAAACTCAACATTAAAGACCTAAACAAATCTATATTTATGCACAGCCATGTTGGCAGTACCTGGCCAGCAGCTCATCTTTTTTTTTTTTTTTTTTTGTAATGGAAGCCAGTTCGAATCATGGGTGCATTTCAACAAACGCTGCCTTGCATCAGGCATGCTTCCCAGGAAAACCATTTACAGCTTCCCCCACTCTCAGTGGGCTAGCTTTCCTAAACCTATTGTCTGTTTCAATAATAGAAGCATCACGCATCATCCTGTCCTGTGGAATCTCTGTAACCGGAGGGCTCTGGTGGCGCATGCTCAGCTTCTGTGGGATCCAACCAGCTAGACCCCAGCAATGTCCTTGTGCTAAATAGTCTAGAAAAGTCAGTTGTTTTCCCACAAAAAAAAAAAAAAAAAAAAAAAAAAAAGCTTCTCCAAACAATGAATAGGTAGGGAGTAAAAAATACTGTTGGGTAATTCAGCTAAGCCCACTGGAAGTTTGCTTCCTTTCAGAGCATGTTTGGTTGATCTCACCCCTACCCCCCAGAGCTGAAGACAGAACCCCTTGAACCTCACAGTACTCTACCACCGAGCCAAATCCTCAAATCCAGAATGCATGGTTTTGAAGCAAGCCGTGATTTTCACGCGGAGCCTCCGGCTTTCCTTTGCTGAACTGGACCTCTTTCTGAGAAACATTATCTCCCAGGGACCGTGTATGCTTCACACACACACACACACACACACACACACACATACATTTGCTGACACTCCATCTCTCACTTTGCAAGGCGAGGAGACCCTTAGCCAGTCATTACAGAGACTGGGCGGTGCTCTGATGGCCGGGCTGGGGATCACAAAAGCACAAAAGTCTTGCCAGGCTACTAAAGCTTGTCAAGTACCAAAGACTTGGTACTTGGTGCTTTGCCTTCACCACCAAACACCTCTTACTTTCTCATCATCTGGGAGATGCACTGAGGTGAGCACAGGGGTCAGCTTGGCTCTTCCTTTTTCATGGAGCCCAAGTTCTTGTCTGTGAGTGTGAGTTGTTCTTCAAATTGAGCTCAAAGGCAGGAAGTCACAAATCATTTCAACAGTTGGCTATGATGAGTTTGGGTGCTCCCTGATAAAGAGTCGCCCATAGTCTTTTTTTTTTTTTAAATAAGTTAAAAGTGCATCTCTTATTGCCTATTTTTCTGTATAAATAGAATGAATGTAGGATAGCGTAAGACTTTTTGTGAAAATCAGTCACAGGACAGTCAACAGCACTAAAGCTCTGTCTCAATCTCAAGAGAGCAGAAAGAAGATTTGAGGCAACAATAGTAAATTTAAACATGAAGAAGGTATCAAGACAAATTTGAAAAATTAAAGTTCAGAAATCAAAGTCTAATCATGTCGACGGCTTTACAAACCTGTCCGTCTGTGTACCGAGTCATCTTGTGTGATTTCTTCTCAAGATCCTGTGACAAGCTCACTGGCATTTTTTTTTTTTTTTCCATATGAAACTGAGTAGAACTCAGAGCCTCGGTAAAGCAAAACATAGGGAATGAAGATGGAACACATCTGAAAATACTGATTTGCAATTCCTGTCAGAACAGGGTTCAGATGGTGGCTTCGGATGTCTGCCCTACATCGGTAAAAGAAAAGCAAAGACAAGCAGCCCAGAGATCACAAGCCTTGGGAGCACGTCGTGGTGAACCGTATCGACAGCTCTAATGGCGTGGAGGTTATCACCAGGGACTAAGTCTTCCTTCGCAGTTTTCATTTTGCACCTGCCTGCTGATGGGCAGGAGACGCAGGATAGAGGCAATCTTCTGGATTACATCTTCCACTGGGTCCTGGGGGTCCTTGAGGCCCTGGGGCACCTGGCAGGCCCACTGCTAATGAAATAAAATACACCATGAGAATTCAGGTCACAGGTGATCCTGCCTGCCTCCCTCTCTCCAGCTGCCACGGGTCATTCAATTGAACCGGCAAGATCCACAGGGGAGAAGAGGCCTATCTTGAGAGAGAGAGAGAGGCCTGCATGTGTAAAGATAGCATGCCTATTACCTGAAGATCCGGGAAGACCTGGGCTCCCGGGCAGCCCAATTCCAGGTTCACCTCTTTCTCCCTTCTGTCCTCGGTAGCCTGACAGATAAACCAAAAGCAAGACATGAGAGTATTCAGCATTAACATGCACAGGAGAGCACTGTTTTCTGAGTCATGCTGTTTGTGCTGTTTCTTCGCTCATCGTACATTAAAATTCATCATACATTAAACATAAATGTAGGTTGAGCTCAGTAAGGCACGGGGATCGGATAACTATGCTAATATATGAAGTTAAAGCAAACCAAGATTTTGATAGCGAGACTTACTTTTAAAAATAATAAAAATAGGCCCGGCGGTGGTAGTGCAAGCCTTTAATCCCAGCACTTGGGAAGTAGAGGCAGGTGGATCTCTCTGTGAGTTCAAGGCCAGCCTGGCCTACAAAGCTAGTTTCAGGACAGCAAATACTGTTACGCAGAGAAACACTGTCTCAAAAACAAAAAACAAAACAAAACAACAACAACAACAACAACAAAAAACCAAAAAAAAAACCATAAAAAATGAATAACAAAGGTAACTCTTTAAAAGTACATTGCAAATTCTTTGGGGACTTCTCATTCTCTTATATCCTAGCCTTGTTAACATTTCTTGTCCTTTACATTTATAAAATGTCATAATAAAGCATTTTGTGTGGTTAAATGATTTGACTCAAATTTGTATTCTGCTAACCTCGAAATTATGAGTTGTTTGTTATTTTTATTTCATTTAGTGATTATTAATTAATTATTCATTTTGTTTAATAAAGTCAGTGTTCTTATGCTGTCTTATTCGCATATAAAACAGAATTCTTTCTGTATTTTCCTTTCCTGCACCTAGACTCCCATCATTTCTGCTGAAGAGGGCTCACACACCTATCATAAACATGTAAGAGAAGATATGAATAATAGATTTAATTATTATCTATACTGTCAAAAATCTTACTATCAAAAGCTTGGCTTGCTGAGACTTTATGTATCAGCTGTGTATGTGTAAGATCCCTATGCTGCTGGGTGTTGGTGGCGCACACCTTTAATTCCAGCACTCGCAAGGCAGAGGCAGGCAGATCTCTGTGAGTTCGAGCCCAGCCTGGTCTACAGAGCTAGTTCCAGGACAGGCTCCAAAGCAATACAGAGAAAACTTGTCTCGAAAAACCAATTAAAAAAAAACATGCTTTATTGTACCCAACTTGGCATTTATGTTTAATATATGACAAATGTGAAATGGGTAATTAATATATGATGAGTGAAGAAGAGCATACACACAGCACAAACTCAGAAAATAGTTCTGGGTTCTGAGGGTGTTGCATTCATATGGACACACACACACACACACACACACACACACACACACACACACACACACGTTCATCTTCCCTGGTTCTGTCTCACTGACTGCTGAGCCCTTCAGCCATTTTGATTTATAATCTTGCCCTTTTATTTCCAAAGGCTTCCACGCTAATCATTTGATAGGTCAGAACTATCCTAGGACTATCAACTGTGCCATGACACTGGATTAAAAAAATGGGGAAAAAAGGTTTTCCTTGATTGAGAAGCTGATAATACTAAACTTTAAAAGCTCAAAAAGGAGAGCAATAACTCGCAGTATTGTTCCCTTAAAATTGATGGGAGTGGGTATGGAGACTTGATCCCCGCCCAATCCTCCATATTCTCCTCCTTGTTACCGTCCATTAACTCTACATGTGAGGATCTTTCAAAAATGGGAGAGGCATGTAAGTATGCCAACCTATTTCTCAAGGTTTTAATCAACCCCCCTTTAAAAAAATCAACTTCATATTGTAACGATTCTACTCAAGAAGGTGAACTTTGCTAGGAAAGTTGGTCATCATTTATCTAGAATTCCACTGGATTAGGCTTTTCAGGCCCATTGCATTTGAGCTGTGGCAATTAGGCCCTGTGTTGCAGATCCCTTTCAGGAGTGACAGGACACTGAGCAATGTTTTCTCCATGCTCAGTGGGAAAGCAACACCCACAGACCCCGTAGAAGGACTAAAATACAAATTCTATAAAAGTGCTTTTGATTTCAACAAGACAGCAATCATCATCCAGTCTCAGAGGAAACAAACAATACGGTCCACTCCAGAGTCTTCTCTAATAAGCATTCATTGTCCTTTAGGGAGATTGTGTTCCTGGAAGAACAACCTCGGGTTTTCACTAGTAAGTCTTCGTAGGGGAATGGCCTCCCCTGGCTCATCGATGATGGCCTCGTATCAATTTACCTCCTTGCTTCTACAGTACTCTGCTTTGCAGAATAAGCACAGGACTCTTTACAAGGTCTTTGATTTCTTTTTTAATCCTTCGCTGAACATATAAAGGATAATGAACGTGATAAAAGGACCCCTTTCGTGGTGCATACTTCAAAGTGCCACTTAATTTAAGTTAAAAGTGGCTTTCTTTCCTGACAAGTACTGTTAAGAACTCATGCATCCTTTAGGCAACTCCTAAGAGCAGAATTCCAAGTGGCCAGTGTACCCTGAGATGTAACTCAACGGACACATTTCCTGTCCCTTTCTGCATTGTGTTTTGCACTTCAGTCTTTTGTCAACCTCAGTTGTGACAACGAAGGGGGCTAATCCAGACAACGGTATTTAAGGCTGGGCTGGCTGCTTTTGTCCTGCTTTTTAAATTGAATAGAGAAGAGCATGTATATGTATATGTATATGTTGTATATGTACATGATGTATATGTATATGATGTATATGTATATGTATATGTTGTATATGTATGTGATGTATATGTTGTATATGTTGTATATGTATATGATGTATATGTATATGTATATATATGTATATGTATGGCTTCAGAGAAATAACAGACTGTGGGACTCCTCACCTGCTTCCCCTTTTCCCTTCCCCCCTCTCTTCCTCCTCTTCCTCCTCCCCTTCTCTCCCTTCCCTTTTAGGATCATCATACAGTATCAGCAACTTTCTTTTAAATCAATAAAAAAAATTCCGTTTTTGCAAACTTTATTTTTTTTTCTGCTGTATTTCTGGCAAATTGAACATTTCAAAGATGAAGTGTCAATCAACAGCTTCCAGTCAAGCTCTAGTCCCTGTCAGAAGCCCCATGGGGGAACACAAGCCCAGACAATAACTTCTAAGTGTGTTTGTTGTCAGAAACGCTGGTGGGACAGAAGTTTTGTCCGTTTTAGTAGAACTTGCCTTTAAAAACAAAACTGGAAATCATGTGGGGGAATTCCTTCAAACTCAAGAATCTCACTCGGATCTCTATTAGAAGTCTTAGTCTGTGATGTACACAGCAGCTGGCTAAAGTCACAGAAATCTCTTGCAAAAGGGAAGGGCCTCATCTTTTGATCACTTGGCTACAAAGTGAATATGAGTCTTGTTTTAGAAAACCTCACTAACACCGTTGCCTTAGAATTGCCTCTGACTGAGAACCTTCCAGACTGGCTTCCCATCACCTGGGAAAGTGCCTGGAGCTGTGAGCATGTGTGGGAAAGATGACTCCTGTCCTCCTGTTGGAACCATTTCACTAGGTCACTGCATTTCCCATCTCATGTGTGTTCTCTTGTACCACAAAGGTTTGAAGGATCCATCCAAAGTTTTCTATTGGTATCAACCTGCATAACTGTCCATGTGGTTTGCATACGGCATGTTCAGAAGGCATATAAAGGTCTTTCCAGTGCTGTGATTTCAGAATAAACCATGATAGCCACCCAATATGTGTTATACATAGGAGGCTGCCTGAGTCTACTCATATCCCTTTTCGTCAACTACGATTCATGCCTCCTGGCCCAAGATAAATGGAAGACGGACACTTAAGAAAACTACAGTGATTTTTAAACTAAGCATAGAGGCCAAATCTTATGCTGACTTCCCATTTAACTTCATGTGACCCGTGTCTTCATAATAGTCAGGTGCAATGGGTTTTCTTTCACTGTGAGTTTGAAGTTTGGCAAGAGGACGTCATGGTAGCCACTCCCTCCAGGCTGTCCATTGGGGGATGGTAACTGCACCTGGGCAGTCTCATCAGTGACAAGAAGAATCAGAGGAAATAGCGATCTTTGCAAACAGAGTGACACATCCGTGCTCAGGTGGCTAGGACTGCACCTGTGCAAACTTTCCCTTCAGTCTATGCAAACATCCCGCAGTTAGCCTCCTGACAGTATGGCCCATTGGGACAAAATGGTTCCCATCTCCTGATCAGTTATCTCACCATTCTGGGTCTTTCTCTGCTGCCTTGCCTTTGGATTAACTGGCTTTTCCCTTGGGCTCTACCCATGGCAGGCTCACCACTCAGACTAGCAACCTCCTTCCTTGCTAAGCCTTCAGTCTCTCTTGTCTTGGAAGCAGTTTCTACTGTTCCTCTATCTTCATACTGACTGCCTCCAAATGCCCAGCGTCAACTGCCTCTGGTAAGCGGAGGGACTCAAGCTGTAGTGTCTATGGGTAAGCTACCGGCACCTTCTGTTTCCTCTACAGGCTGGTAGGGCATTGTGGCTGAATGGAGCCCTACAGGCTTTAGCCTGAACCAGGAAGCCAGAGGTCCATCTTCTTTATGAAGCCGTTCTGTCCCCGTTGTGTACAGGAATTGGGAATATGGGAATGTGGTATGTACTGTCTGTCCTCGCGTGGCTAGATGGTAATTAAAAATGGATTCTGGAGTAGAATTTAATTCAACTCCAGGAAGGCAAACTTCCCAGAATGCTTAGGAATAACTTTGGTGATAGCAGAGATGCCTAGGACTATAGCTTCTCTAACCTTGTTTCCCATGGTTCATCCTTACTAAATTTGGCAACTCTCCCTCAGAATTCAAGAATCATCTGAATGCAGACCTAACTACTCAGTCTGCAGATTGCTAACCATATTTTTTTATGGAACAGCTGTATCAGAATAACTGAATCAAGCAAAATTCAAGAGCATTTGCCTTCTCATGTTATCAGTGGGACACTTTCTTTTGACAATGTGAGTTTGCCTTTAAGGACTTTAGAAGTCACACATAGTATATTTTAAAGTTCACAAGTCATCATAATTACCTGCCTAAGACCCACTCAAGATCAAGCTATCCAAAATTTCTAGCATAGATTGAGTAGACGACCTACCCTTTTACTGGGGAACTGTTGCCAGTGGCTAGTTGCTGGGGAAGGAGGACTCACCCTTAATGGAAGATGTGGCCATTGGTGGGTCTTACATGTCCCAGGGGATGGTTCCACACCTGTGCACATATGGTTAGCACTAACTGGACTAAGTGAGTTATTTTTTAAAAAGATAATAATTTAGGGGAACATGTTAAAGAGGCTTGGAGGGAAATGGGGAATATACATCACTACATTTCAAAATTCAAAAAAGATTGTGTCTTTTTAAAAAAGCTTTAAAAGCTACTACTTCAAATCTCTACTATACAATCACTCTAAATTCTCCACAGTTAGGTGTTAGCTCCAAGTGACTGTTTGTAGCAGATTTTCCTAAGACTCTTTCTTCAGTTTCTTTAAGCCTTGCCCAGTAGTGAGTCTTGCCCAGTAGTGAGATGGAGACAGAAACAACTCTAGAATTCCTATATAACAATTAAAGCGCAACGGACAGCATTGCTGTTATTGTTACACTGGATATTATTAAAATGAACTTAGAGAGGCAGGCATATCAGTTTTAAATATGAAGTAGTAATAATATTTATCACTAGAAAATAAAATATTAACAAGAGAGTTCAAAATGAGCCATTTCATATATACCACACACATATATGTTTTAATTGCAACAAGTATGTTATAAATATTGAGGATTAAAAACACACACTATTACACTTGCAGCCTTACCTTGGGGTCCTGGGTCTCCTGGGGGTCCGGGTAACCCATCCTTCCCTGGTGGCCCAGGCCTCCCATGAGCTTGAGCAGATAGCATTGCTGCTGGCAGCTTAAGCTGGGATAGAAACACAGCCATCCTCTCTTCATTCATGAAAGAAAAAGATACATCATGCAACTGAAATGTCTTTATGTCAAAGTATCTCCAAACATTTTTATAAGAAGTTAAAAAGGTTTCCATTTTTTATTTAAGCACGTATTATGTACCAACTGGTCTGACTGCTGTGTTTTTGATAAAAACAGAATCAATTGCGTGCAGCTGTTTGAAGACAGAAGCAGTACAGCTGGGTTGATCAGAATGTCTAGGAATTACTAGTGTTCCAGGAATCCAGGAGTGGTGAAGCTAGAACACTTGTCTGATTAACTTGGTTATGACTTGTGGAGAAAACTTTGGTTCACTGTCTTTGGAATAAACATAAGGCCCTGTCTAGCACTGTGTTGAATGGTGTATAGCCCCCAATTTTTTTAACACCCTTTCCATGGTTAGAATCCAACCCCTGCATTTTGAGTCATGACTGGGTTTACTTTTCTTATGAAAGGAGAATGGACAATGTGTAACCAGAAAGAATTGTTCATCAAAGAGCTTTCTAGTGGCCCTTCAGTTGCTGATCCTGGAGGAAATCTGTTTACATGGAATGCGCAGTTGGATCACTCAAGCGATGTTGCCCTGTGACAGATATGCTAGTGAGTTTGGAGGTGTCCATCTTTCCCCAGGCAAGTATTAAAATGATAGGACCCACACTTGACTGGGGTCCTATCTGTGACCTTATTCCAGATATAGCGACAGAACAATATGACTGAGCAACCCTTCAAGTTGTTGACCCATAGATCATGTGAACAAATGGGTATATACTCTCCCAATTCACTCACATGTATGGGAATTACATTTTCTTACATGACAACAGATAACTCACGTTTCAGGTAACTTGAATAACACTAAATTTTCAGCAGAGACATTTAGCTATTGCAAAACCGTCATTGGCTTCATTTTACCATTTAAGCTCCTGACTAGGCAGAAATGTCACAAGTAACTTTTACTTTTTAAGGAAGGAATCCTACGTGAACTCATTATGATTAATTTTCTGGTTGTATTTCCAGTTAGTGAGTCATTTGTTCAATCAGGTTGGTAGGGAGAAGAAGGATGTCTAATTTTGTAAAAGGAAAATATGCTCAGCATTGCTGCAGATAAGAAGCCTCTCTCTGAATTTTAGTGGCAGCAATAAAAACAACAAAATGTTTCAGTGTGTCTCTATGAGCCTAAGAAAACATTGGACCAGCAAACACAAATTACAGGCAATGGATACCTTATCCATGCCATTCAGAAGAGCTGGCTTTAAGCTACACTAAGAAACAGGCATTTAGCATAAGCTAATTGCCTCTTCTGAACCCTACCTTAATGCTCTATAATTGAAACTAATAGTTTTTTAGCATCTAAGCATCTAAATGAATTGTGAAGGCCTGCATTCTTAATTGCCTTCCCTCTGTTCTCGGGGCTCCTCAGTCATTTAAACTGGTTTTCAGCTCTGCTTTCTAATGAGGCAGAAAATTAAAGACCTTAGAAGACATGTACATAAACCATTCATATTCCACCTGCCTGGGCAAAACAAGAGCCAGCAGTCACAAGAGCCCACAGTCTGACAAACAGAGGACTTGGCTTCCGTGGAGAATGAAGTCCCAGTGACAACACAGGCATTACCATTCATTGAAGAAGACAGGGACATTCAGGTGTCACCCTGCCCTCCTCTGCCTTTTGTTTCACAGACGGAATTTGCTACTTTTTCAAAGAACAAGGAATCTTTTCCCCTAATGGCCATTCACATGTTGCACTGCCCACTTTCTTAGTATAACCTCTTTTGATACTCCATTGCAGAAACGGCTACATGATAGATCAAGGGAATCCTCATTACTTCGTAATATTGTTATCTTTTAGCCTTACCGTTAAAGAACACTCATTCACAGGATTACTAATCTGTTCTGGAAATCACTTTTGGGGTCATTTTCCATGGCTTTCCTGCATGTCTTTTAATCACAGTAGCTAAAATTACATGTAGTTTTCTTCTATGGGGAAATTCAACAATAATTTCTTGTGATATTTGAATTATTTTTCAGTTTCTTTTTAATTTCTATCACATTTATTTTGTAGTTCATAATGCTATAATTGTTCACAGTCTTCGTAAGCATGTGTCTTCAAAATGCTGTCATGGGTAAAGACAGTGGATTGAACACACACAACTGCCTTAAGTCTCCCATGGATGCTCCTTTTAAAGTCACAAAACTCAAGAATAAGGAGACTCTAAATGGAAAAAGTAGCAACACTTTTGGAAGCCGAGGATCAGATAGCTGAGGGATATTTGTCTTGGTTTAAATAAATGAATGAATGAATGAATGAATGAATGAATCAAACTGAGACTTTACACCCAGAACAGAAACCCAACCAAATTTAAAATGTAAATTCTAGAGACTCAGAATCTGGGATACAAGTTATCTCCGGAAGTGGGGGGCAAAGGAAAGGAGTTGAAATAAAGCCCATGGATGGAAAGCTTAAGTATAAAGTATGTAGAAATCTTTCTCTGAAAAGCTAAGTAGTTAGTTTTCCCTAGCCCCAGCAACTAAAGGGCCCCTTTCCAAAAAGGGAGGGGGCTGGGGGAGGAAAGGGAAGGGGGAAAATGAAGCAATTTCTGTTTTCATTAAAATGTAAGATGAATAAATAAAGGGGAGATAGACTGTCTCTGTGTTGACAACCCCAGACTTCAGCAAGACTCTGAACTTAATACTAAAAAAAACATTAATAAATGAGCCAATAAGATTCTTACTGCTGAGCTGGCAGCCAAGGTAGAAAATCGAAATGCCCCACAGTGAGACTTAAAGACACTGGAATCGGAAGACCTTCATTTAGAATGCCAAGCTAACTACCTTATGCGAAAGCCCTGGCTGGCAAGTCCTACATTCACTCACAACTGTCAATTAAGTGTTTCTTCTATATGAACAGACAACCACAGAGCACAGGAATTGGAGAGGATCCTGAAAGCCACATGCCTGATTCTGTTTGAGTCCCTGGCAAGCAAAAGCTGCAAATGGAAGAAACTGAGTATATTGTAGAAAATATTTACTGTATCTCCCATGATGTGTATCTATGGGTGATGTGTATACGCACGCGCGCACACACACACACACACACACACACACACACACACACACACACACACATAAATGATAGAGAACAGAGATGTTACCTTGAAATAGGAGAATGGGATGATATATTATACTCATTTATTTACATGTATGTGAAATATATGTGAAAATTGAGAAACTGAAACTGAACACTGAAATCCAAAGGCAGGAATAATTTTGACCTTTCTGTTCTTCTGTAGGTTGGACTTTTAGGGTTTAAAGAATGGAAAGACCCACTTAGTTTGTATATACCACTTCATAAGTTTTTTCCATATAAATACAAATGCTTACGTGTTATGTGGTCAGGTTGTAGCAAAAGCTATACTCCTCCGATATGCTAAGCCTCTGATTTATGTGGATAGCATCATTGGCAGCTGCTAAGTTCTCATAAGGACAAAAGATGCTAAGCTGCGTCAAGTGGATGCCATCTATCTCTGCCCTTTGTGGTCACTTTGTTCATAAAAAAGCCTTGACATATTGGCCAATCAAAGTGGAAATTTAAGTTTAGAGGGAGTGCATACTTGTGTATTGTGATCCACCTGGAACCCAGCTTTGAGATCATGGAGAATTGCCTCCCTTGCCCAGCCCAGGAAGAAGCATTTAGCTGCTGAAGGGCAGGGTTGTGGCCTGGAGTATAGAGCCCAAGGTGAGAAGCCTGTGAGGTCTAAGAAATTCAAAGGGGCTTGATAAATCCCTGGAGAAGAGCTCAAAACTTGGGTGCAGGTGTAGGATTTCACACGAGTAGTCACTTGGACACTGGGGCAGTGAATAAAGCATACAGCAGGCTCTCCTGAGGACTACCTTGGGCTCCCGCTGAAGAGGGAGGACCCTTCCTGAGGCTGTGGACAGGCAGGTATGTGGCGAGCCTTCAGAAGCCCCCACGGACACCTTTTAGAGCAGGTTCCTAGAGTGAAAATGCTAAGGAAACGGGCTGTAGATGGGTGTGACCGAACCCCAGCACTTAACTGTACTGTGTTAGTTCACCGAAACTGCTTTAAAATGTGACAATTAATCTCCCCGTTTAGAGACAGGGCTTTGTGGAAAACGAGACTGACCCGAGAGTGCTATGATTTGTGGAAATGGAGCTTTGCTTTTTTTTTCTTCTTGGAAAATGGTGTTCAGAAGCCAGGGGTGGGAGAAATCAAACAGACTGATTGGAAATGGTTTGAGGGCAAACGAAATTTAAGTGCTAAGTAACTACACTGTAGATGCAGGTGCATTATGGGTGGGAGAAGACAGATTTGCCAGGCTGCTGTCTGGAGAGCTGCCAGGAAAAGGGGAGGTTAGAAATTTCAAGCAAAAGATTTCCTTAGGATCTTTTTAGGAAATCATCTTGAGAATAAGGTATCTGTGGCTTTGGAGGTAAACCAGCTCTCTCGAGGCTAGAATGACCTGTCATTCACTAGGACCTTTTGGGAGAGGCAGTGGGAGAGATAGGGATGAAGCCAGAGGAGACATGCGGGAAAACGCTGGAGCCGATTTTAGAACAAATATATAGAGTCAAACTTCAACAAACGATAGATTAGTAGACGACTTATAAGAGCGAAGAAGGAATTCGATGATATGCAGAAGGGCCTTGATTCAACTTAAAAATCTTAAACATTTTACACTTTACTACAACGATTACTGCTATTTTATTACTTATTATTATTCTTATGCGTGGCAGGTATGCCAAAGTGAGAGGCTAGAGGACAACTTGCAGGAGTCATGATTCTCTTCCCATCATGTGGGTCCCAGAGATGGAATTCAGATTGTCAGGCTCAGCAGCAAGTGCCTTTACCCACTGAGCCATCCTGTAAGTCCAACTCTTGACTTTTAAACTCGGCATTTCCATCAACAACTAGAATGATGACATGCTTACACATTTAGAGGTGGACCAAAGCTGTGTCAGCCACCTTACCTTCCACGAATATTCTAAAAGAAATTTTCAGGTTGGGCCAAAGTCAGAACAAATATCGCTTGAACTTGATTTGATTTTGTTTTGTATTATTTATTTAATATTATTGTGCTGGAATTAAGAAAAACAAACGAACAAAAAATATACAGGGCCTTAGACATTACGGGCAAGTGCTCTACCACTAAAGCCTCTTGAAGTTTAATAATAGCAAACATAAATTCACCTGTTTCAGGTTCTGAAAATAATACACAATTAATAACTCTTTCAAAAAGTTTTTAGAGGGAGGAACCATGCTCTTTGTTAACTGGTGACTCAAAATGAATGACTGGCAAGACTGAACTGTTTAGAAAAAGCGACGATGGGCTGAGGATGCCGCTCCGTGGTAGAGTGTTCACTAGCATGCATGAAGACCTAGCTATCAGCCCCACAAAAGCATTAATAACCCAGGCATGGTGGTATGTGCTTGCAATCTCAGCACTTGCAAGGTAAAGGCAGAGCATCAGGGGTTCTAGGTTACCCTCAAGCTCCATAGAGAATTCAGGCCAGCGTGGGGTTTGTGAAGTGCTGTTTGCTTTTTAAGACAATGCTATTCTGGCTTTAAAAATCTAGAGCTGGGGTGGGCAAACTTATTCTGGAAAGAGTCAGAAAGTGGGCATTTAATATTTTGCCTGAAAGCTTTGGAACAATATGAAAAGAAATAAGCATGACTGTACCTTAAACCACGTTATTATAAGCCAGATCTGAATTTAGTTCATTCTAATGTGCCATTTTGATCTTTAAAAAAAATGAGGATAGGAAACCCCTGTAACAAATATGTAAGAACCGTTCTCAGCTTGTGGACCACTTAAAAATTCATCTGTAGCAGATGGATGTGGCTGGGAGTCTTTAGTTTGCTGACCCTTGGTATAGATCAAAAGACATTGTAACCTACCTCTGTTAAAAACACTCATAGGCAAATCAAGCACCTTCCCAGGGGGGTGGGGATGGGGGAGCTGGGCATACTTACTCCATTGAGGAGAAAAAAAATTAAGATGGAGTAGGGTGGGGTGGGTATTGAACTCTTCAAAAGACACCAATAGAAGGTACTTTATCTTATAGACAATTGGGGAGGAAAGCAAGTTTAAAGAGAAAATATAACTTAGTATAAGGAAGACCTTTCTATCTAAAGGAGCTGCCTTTCCATGAAATGGATCTATGATTGCTGTCACAGAGTCATCTTTCAAGAATGTCACTGCAGGGATTCCCCACAGAGGCACAGGAAGTGGAGATGAGTGAAAAAATCTGGAAGTATTACAAAGCAAACCTAACCTTCAAAAATCCTCAGGACCTCTTGATTAATGTACTTTTTGATTTCTTCAAATGAAACAGCATCAGCCTAAAGGAGAAAAAAAAAAAAAGAATGTCTATTAAACTAAAGCAAAGCATAAGGAACAGACACGCTGGGTTTGGCATACTTTTGTGGATGCACATTTGTCAAGCAAAATCCTCTAGGCAGTGCACTATTTTGGGCAATAAACACTGTTTGATCAAATGCTAGGATAAGCTGAAGTTCATAGTTGCTTTACCAGCTGTGGGCTGGGATTATAACCAGTGATGGTAATATTTCTCCTGTGAATGGACACTTAGGACATACAGTTTCTGTTGCTTCATATTATACAATTAAAAGGCCCAAAGAATGAGATGGTGTTAAAAAACCAACCACAATTGAACATGCACCCCGTTCCTGGATACTGGTAAAGTCTATGAGAACTGACTTCATGTTGTTGCAAGATTATCCTATGAAATGTTTTCCTCATGTTTTGCCCGTCTCATGCTTCTCTAATGTACATATTATCATAAATACATTAGCCAATTTTGTATTTTTGGTTGTGAAACTAGCCCTTAATGGCCGAGCCATCTCTCCAGCCAGTTGCCAAAACTTTAATGGAAAATACCTGAGATACCCAGTAACTGCAAGTAGGTAAGTGGTGTCAGCTGAACGCTTAATCCTTTGATAAAAGCCCACATTCAGAGTAGCCACGTTTGACTGAAATACTTTGGTATTTTCAGAAGGGATCTATCACTTTTCAAGATGGCCAGGATTTGAAAGTATTTCAGTCCTATTGTCTATGTGTGTAGTTATTTCCTGAGGTTCCATGTAAGGCAATGAAGACAACATAGATGTTGTGATGCAGGGACTCCCTGCCACTGTCACTCACACACTTTGGGAAACACATAACAAAGCCCAAATGGGATGTGCCCAGATGAGGGATGTGAAAGATTCCTGGGAACATTCCATGGGACATGATTTTCAGACATGGCCCCAATTAGTCCCACAAATTAGGCAGTTGTCCTTAATCCGTAAAGGTCCCTGTCTTGGTAAGCTCTCTCCATCCTTCTCACAGATTCTGTCATTGTGGTTGCGTATTAACCCTGTATATTTGATGGTAATACTGAGAACTTGTCCATTCACAACATCTACTCACTTAGAATGAAGGAAGAGAAAAGACAACACAGTGTCCTCATATGGTACTAATTTCAATGTGCATGGGAAAAAATGAACTTGAATGAAAGTACTGAGAACAAACCCAAACCCATATGACCAACCAAGCCAAACAATGATTTTTGGAGTCAGCCAGATCTGGGTTTGACTGTCTTAATAATACTTTGAGGTTGATCAAGGCAACTTTGATCCTGCATTTATTAACAGATGAGGGAAGGGGCCCCCCATTCTTCCAGTTTGGCTGTGAAGATCTAGGATGCAGTGGAGGTGTCAACCAAGGACCTGGCACACAACTTTAAATAATGGTGCAGACCAGCCTGTTTTATATATTGAAAAAGGATCAGCATTTCTTTCATTATAGAAAGGCACATTGTCCATATGAGGCCAGGGCTGTACTTACCGGCATGCCAGGGATGCCTGGAGAGCCTGGAGGGCCTTGGTGGCCAGGTGATCCTATGGAGCCCTTGCTTCCTGGTGGCCCCACAGGACCTATAGCCCCCTTCATGCCCATAAGACCTGGTTTTCCACGTTCACCTTGTGGACCTCTGTCTCCTGGAATTCCCTGGTCACCCTGTTTGGGGAGAAAATAAGGAGTCACCCTCTGGTTAATAACAAAATCCTGGGTCTGTCCTGGCATTCATTTACTGTGGATCCTTGGATTACATAGTCTGCCCTGTACCCCAGTTTGTACCATTAGCATGTGGGAATATTAAGAGTATCTCCTAGCTAAGGTAATGCTGAGGAACAAATGCATCCAAGTAACATAGTTAAAATGATATCTGATGATGGGAGATGTCATTCTGTAAATAAATATGTTTCTCGTATTGGTTAATGAATAAAGCACTGTTGGCCAATAGGAAAGCACGATAGGCAGGGCTAGGAGACTAGGAGGAGATTCAAGATGGAGGACAGAAGAGTAGAATGCTGGCCCCTCTCTCCGGTAAGATAAGACCACATGGAAATACTTAGATAAATAGAAATGGGTTAATGTTTAAGACAGAGCTAGCCAATAAGGAATACTAGTAACAGGGCAACAGCTTTATATCTAATACAGCATCTCTGTGTGTTGTTTGGGTCTGGCACAGAGGTGGGGCCAGGCCAGTGGAAAAACCTACTCATAACAATCTGATGCCTTGGGAACACTATGCAAATACACCCTAGTGACAATGACAGTGGTCTTCATTCAGTCTAGGATGATGTCACCTTCAAACATCAGCACCCACTGTCACTTCAGGTCTGGCTCTCTTTCGTAGTTACAAAAGGAGATTGTCAACAGGAGCATCTCTCTGAGGTTCTTGGCCTGGAAGAACCCCCAACCTGTTCTACATCACATGATTATCTCCCCTTTGCATTTTGGTTTGGCCTTCAATGGATTCTTTGGAGTTTCTTCTACACACATGTTTTACACAGGTTTGCATGTGTATTTGGCCATGAAAAAGGTATACTGCACAGGAAAGCAAGAGAAGAGAGATTTAAGACTGTCTCTAAGCAAGTGACTGGGGGTGGTGGGGGTGGTGGGGGGCAGCCGTCCCTGAGATGACTTGTTCAAGAGCATATACGAAGGTGGAGAATTTGTTAAGATGTGAGACGGCTCTAGCTGTGGCTGAATCTGGGAGTAAGGTCTATAACGTTGCCTTTGTTCCCGCCATGTGTCTGTACTGTGTGTGCCCAAGGGAAGTGTGACACCATAGCAAGCCCTTTAGTTCTGCATTTTCAGTGTCCAGTTGTATGACTGCGGGTCTGAACTGAGTGTGACAGACGGTGCTAAAGGCTGCCCTGCATTTCCTGCACTGTTCCGTTACCTGTAATGCTCTGCAAAGGGTCCGTCTATATTCGTCTTGATTTTAAAACTCATGAACAATCATAGGTATTAATGTGATCATAAGGTACAAAAGAAGATAGAGAAGTCATTAAGAAAGGAAACGGATGACTGTAAAACCAATGGTATTGTCTTATAAAATGTATTAATATACAAATTAATATACAGTTCAGCTCATGTCTGGAGAAACTTCCAAGGCAAAAAATAAATTAACGCCCTATATTTCATATTCATGTGAAGCCTTAAATTTCTATGTATGGTGCCTACTGAGATAACTGAGCTGGCACCCATCACCCATTGTCATTTCAGGCCTCAAAATGGCACATGGCACCCATCACCATACTTGATGTCCTGGATTTAATCCACACAGGGTACATGGCGGATGCAGAGGAGTGACTCGTATAGGTTATCTTCTGACCTTCCATAATCAAAAAATAAAAAAAATAGTTGTTTTTTCCCTAAAAACAAAAGATGTTTGTAGTGTTTATTATTAAGAAAACTGGAGAGAAAATAACTGCTTAGAAAAACAGGACTAGTGAAGCCACATGGAGTCATTGCATATTGCCAGTAGAAAAAAATGTATTGATCCGCCTATCTCTGCGGGTCCACTTGGAGTTCCTGCAGGCAAGATCCTTGACCCCCAAATCCGGGCCCTGCCAAAGAACGAGGTCTCAGCTGGAGAGCGCCAGTTTCCAGTGAGATCCCACTACCCTGCAAAACCTTCTCAAGTTCCAGCCCAGCCCTCGTCCTCTTCTGCCGGCTATTGGCCAGAGGTGAGTCTGGGCCCAATCGGGGCTGCCTGTCCCCTTCAACCTCTTTTCCCCCTCCCCCGCCTGAACTCCCTGGATTGGCCCCTGATCCTGCTGCTCCTGTCTCCGGTCCCCTTTGAGAGCACCCTTGGAGCTCTGATACACCCCCACCCATCCCAACCTCCAGCCTACCCCCCCCCTACCCTGTGCCCTACCCCACCTACGGTCCTGCCGCTCTGGTTGAGCACTGGGACAGAGGGTGGAGCCAACAGTCCACCCTACTTCGGAGACCTCTCGGAGCAACTCCGAACAAAGGAGACCTGACTATCCACGTGGGACCACCTGTAATTTCCACCAGCTTGGTCCCTGACCCCGCCTCCAGTCCTCTGCTGGAGTCCCAGGCCCCTCCCAGAGATCCGCCTATCTCTGCGGGTCCACTTGGAGTTCCTGCAGGCAAGATCCTTGACCCCCAAATCCGGGCCCCTGAAAAAGAACGAGGTCTCAGCTGGAGAGCGCCAGTTTCCAGTGAGATCCCACTACCCTGCAAAACCTTCTCAAGTTCCAGCCCAGCCCTCGTCCTCTTCTGCCGGCTATTGGCCAGAGGTGAGTCTGGGCCCAATCGGGGCTGCCTGTCCCCTTCAACCTCTTTTCCCCCCTCCCCCGCCTGAACTCCCTGGATTGGCCCCTGATCCTGCTGCTCCTGTCTCCGGTCCCCTTTGAGAGCACCCTTGGAGCTCTGATACACCCCCCACCCATCCCAACCTCCAGCCTACCCCCCCCCTACCCTGTGCCCTACCCCACCTACGGTCCTGCCGCTCTGGTTGAGCACTGGGACAGAGGGTGGAGCCAACAGTCCACCCTACTTCGGAGACCTCTCGGAGCAACTCCGAACAAAGGAGACCTGACTATCCACGTGGGACCACCTGTAATTTCCACCGGCTTGGTCCCTGACCCCGCCTCCAGTCCTCTGCTGGAGTCCCAGGCCCCCTCCCAGAGATCCGCCTATCTCTGCGGGTCCACTTGGAGTTCCTGCAGGCAAGATCCTTGACCCCCAAATCCGGGCCCTGCCAAAGAACGAGGTCTCAGCTGGAGAGCGCCAGTTTCCAGTGAGATCCCACTACCCTGCAAAACCTTCTCAAGTTCCAGTCCAGCCCTCGTCCTCTTCTCCCGGCTATTGGCCAGAGAGAAGCCTCCTAGAGAGCTTGGACCACACAGAGATACAGACATTGAATCTTTGATCCACATAAGCCCATCTGGGAAGGACCATAGAGAGAGGGAAGAGACACCACCAACACCTACAGGAAGAAACTATGGGAAGAAGGCAATACAAGAGAACACCTAACAACAGAAAGACAAACATGACACCACCAGAATCTAGGGAATCTACACCAACTAGAATGGAACACAACAACAAAGCAGAGGAAGCAGAAGGGTATGACTTAAAAATCACCATCATAAAAATGATAGAGGCCCTCAAAGAAGATATGAGAAAATCCCTTAAAGAAATAGAGGAAAAAACAAACAAAAAAGTGGAAGAAATGAACAAATTCCTTAAGGAAAGTACAGAAAGCCAAGAAAAAACAATTAACCAGGTGAAGGAAACGGTTCAAGATTTGAAAACCGAAATTGAGAAAATAAAGGCAACACAAATGGAAGGAAAGCTGGAAATTGAAAAGCTGGGCAAAAAATCGGAAACCACGGACACAAGCATAACCACTAGAATTCAAGAGATGGAAGAGAGAATCTCAGGCGCAGAAGATAAACTAGAAGAAATAGATTCATCGACCAAAGAAAACCATAAATCCAACAAATCCTTAACACACAATATCCAGGAAATGTGGGACACCATGAAAAGGCCAAACCTAAGAATAATAGGCATAGAGGAAGGTGAGGAAGCCCAGCTCAAAGGTGCTGAAAACATATTCAACAAAATCATCGAGGAAAACTTTCCAAATCTGAAGAAGGACATGCCCATGAAAGTACAAGAAGCATACCGAACCCCAAATAGGCTGGACCAAAGAAAAAAGACCCCTCGACATATAATAATCAAAACACCTAGCATACAGAATAAAGAAAAAATATTAAGAGCAGCGAAGGAAAAAGGACAGGTAACATATAAAGGCAGACCTATCAAAATTACACCTGACTTCTCCATGGAAACCCTCAAGGCCAGAAGGTCCTGGATAGATGTTCTAAAAGTATTAAGAGAACACGGATGCCAGCCTAGGCTACTATATCCAGCAAAACTCTCAGTCAATATAGATGGAGAGAACAAGATATTCAATGACAAAACCAGATTTTCCCAATATGTATCTACAAATCCAGCCCTACAGAAAGTATTGGAAGGAAAATTCCAACCCAAGGAAGGTAACTACGCCCACAAAAATGTAGGCAACAGATAATCCAACTACACCAGAAACCTAGGGTGAAGCAGAACAAATATATTCACAATACCACTGCCAACAACAAACCTAAATCAAACAACCATCAACAATCAATGGTCCTTACTCACCCTCAACATTAATGGTCTTAACTCACCTATAAAAAGACACAGATTAACAGAATGGATACGAAGACAGAATCCATCCTTCTGCTGCATACAAGAAACACATCTTAGCTCCAAAGATAGACATTACCTCAGGGTAAAGGGTTGGGAAAAGATTTTCCAATCAAATGGAAATAAGAAGCAAGCAGGCGTAGCTATCCTAATATCTAACAAGCTAGACTTCAAACCAAAACTAGTCAAAAGAGATGAAGATGGTCATTTCATATTCATCTGAGGAGAAATCCATCAACACAAAGTCTCAATTCTGAACATCTATGCCCCTAATACAAAGCCACCCACATTCGTAAAAGAAACACTACTAAAACTCAAAGCTCATATAAAACCTCACACACTTATAGTGGGAGACTTCAATACACCACTCTCAACACTAGACAGGACCACAAATCAGAAACTCAACAAAGAAACAAAAGAATTAACAGAAGTTATGTCTCAACTGG